AGGAAGTCTTTGTTGCTAAACACCAGGACTAATAACCCTTTGTGCTATAACGCTCAGAGTTTGATTTTTTTAAATATTTATTTATTTATTTGAAAGTCAAAGTTACACAGAGGGAGGAGAGGGAGAGAGAGAGGTCTTCCATCTAATGGTATACTCCGCAACTGGCCGCAACAGCCAGAGCATTGCCGATCTGAAGCCAGGAGCCAGGAGCTTTTTCCAGGTCTCCCATGTGGGTGTAGGGGCCCAAGGACTTTGGACATCTTCTACTGCTTTCCCAGGCCATAGCAGAGAGCCAGATAGGAAGTGGAGCAGGCAGACTTGAACTGGCACCCATATGGAATGCCGGCATTTCAGTCCAGGGTGTTAACCCACTGCATCGCAATGCCGGCCCCTGAGTTTGATTTTAGGATGTCTTACTTCTGTGTGTATCTGGAATCATTCAGAATTCAGACAGGGAAAATAGAAATGCAAGTAATAAGCACCTTTCACTGCAACACATTTTATGATACACATGTTTATGTTAAGGAATGATTGAAAACTTAAACAAAAATCCTACAGGGTTGGTAGACTTACCAACATCTATACTTCTAATTAATATCCAGATTTATAATTATTTCTATGGATGATTTATAATTATTTCTATGGATGATTTAACAAGACTTTGAGGCCCTTGGGAATTTGATGATATACTTGGATTTGATGAGTTCAGACCAACTATCACAACTAAGATATTAATGCAAAAATGAAGCAAAGATAATAAAACTTGTATAGCAGGTGTCCCTATACAATATCTTATAATAATTTTATATAATCAGGAGGCTTCAAATACATAATTATTTAAAGATTTAATTTTTTATTTGAAAGGCAGAGTTACAGAGAGGGGGAGAGAGAGAGAGAGAGAGAGATCTTCCATCTACTGGTTCACTCCTCAGATGGCTACAACAACCAGAGCTGTGGCGATCTGAAGCCAGGAGCCAAGAGCTTCTTCTGGGTCTCCCATGCAGGTGCAGGGGCCCAAGGACTTGGCCCATCTTCCACTGCTTTCCCAGGCCATAACAGAGAGCTGGATCAGAAATGGAGCAGCCGGGACTTGAACCAGCTCATATATAGGATGCCGGCACTTCACACCAAGGCGTTAACTCATATGGGATGCCAGCACTGCAGGCAGTGGCCTTACTCACTAAGCTACAGTGTGGGCCCCCAAATACATAATGTTTTTAACACATTATTAGTAAGTCAGATATATTTTTAAAATACATATAATTTTATAGAAAATAAATTATACTCATTAATATTAATGACTGAGACAAATTGTCTCTGCAAATAGCATTCTCAAAATTGTTTTCAGCTTTGCAAACTTTTTATGGGAAAGAATGAATATATGCAGGTTATAAATATTATGTAGGTTAGGGGCTAGCACTGTGGAGCTATAGGTTAATCTCTGCCTGTGGCGCCAGAATCCTATATGGGCACCGGTTCTAGTCCCAGTTACTTCTCTTCCAGTCCAGCTCTTTACTGTGGCCTGGGATAGCAGTAGATGACCAAAGTGCTTGGGCCCCTGCACCTGCATGGGAGACTGGGAAGAAGCACCTGGCTCCTGGCTTCAGACTGGTGCAGCTCCAGCCATTGTGGCCATTTGGGGAGTGAACCAATGGAAGGAAGACCTTTCTCTCTGTCTCTTTCTCTCACTGTCTGTAACTCTGCTTGTCAAATAAATAAATAAAATCTTTAAAAATATATTATGTAGATTAAAGATATTTCTAAGATTTTAATCACTTCCAGCTTTTAAAAATCTTCAATAGGAGTCGGCACTGTGACACAGCAGGTTAATGCCCTGGCCTGAAGCGCTGGCATCCCATATGGGCTCTGGTTCAAGACCTGCCTGCTCCCCTTCCAATCCAGCTGTCTGCTATGGCTTGGGAGAGCAGTAGAAGATGGCCCAAGTCCTTGGGCCCCTCCACCCTTGTGGGAGACCTGGAAGAAGCTCCTGGCTCCTGGCTTCAGATCGGCACAGCTACAGCCATTGTGGCTAATTAGGGAGTGAACCATCAGATGGAAGACCTCTCTCTATCTCTGGCTCTACCTTCCTCTGTAACTCTAATTTTCAAATAAATAAATAAAATCTTTAAAAAAATCTTCAATAAACATTCTTTTAGCAAGCTACAGAAAAAATATACAAAATTACTATATCACAACCATTCAGAATGTGAATTTAATGTGTACTCCTCGTGTATATTCAAACATTTAAGTTTTTTAAAAGGTTTTATTTATTTGACAGGTAGAGTCACAGACAGTGAGAGAGAGAGAGAGAGACAGAGAGAAAGGTCTTCCTTCCATTGGTTCAGCCCCCAAATGGCCGCTACAGCCAGTGCTGCACTGATCCAAAGGCAGGAGCCAGGAGCTTCCTCCTGGTCTCCCACGCAGGTGCAGGAGCCCAAGCACTTGGGCCATCCTCCACTGCCCTCCTGGGCCACAGCAGAAAGCTGGACTGGAAGAGGAGCAACCGGGACCAGAACGCAGTGCCCATATGGGATGCCAGCACCACAGGCGGAAGATTAACCAAGTGAGCCACGGCGCCAGCCCCAACATTTAAGTTTTTTAAGAAATTGTTTGAGCTATGTGATTTTCAATAAAATAATTGGATAATTGACTTTCAGCATAAGAGTGAATTCAGTTTGTGTTAATTCACCTCTTCATTCAACAATTATAAATATGGTACAAGAAAGTGAACAAAATCATGAAGGTTCTTGATCTGAAAGAACAGAGAATAATTCCTTTATAAAGCAAAATGTAAAAACAGCACATTGATATTTATGACATAATAATGTTATTCATTTAAAACCATCTGTCATATAACTTAATTGGAGATTAGGTATCTAGGTTCAAACATTAACTTACTTTTTTTTGACAGGCAGAGTTAGACAGTGAGAGAGAGACAGAGAGAAAGGTCTTCCTTCTGTTGGTTCACCTCCCAAATGGCCGCCATGGCCAGCGGGCTGCACCAATCTGAAGCCAAGAGCCAGGTGCTTCCTCCTGGTCTCCCATGTGGGTGCAGGGCCCATGGATTTGGGCCATCCTCCACTGCCTTCCCAGGCCACAGCAGAGAGGTGGACTGTAAGAGGAGCAACTGGGACAGAATCCAGTGCCCCAACTGGAACTAGAACCTGGATTACAGGCACTGCAGGCAGAGGATTAGCCTAGTGAGCCATGGTGAGGGGCTCCCCACAGGCGGGGTGGGGGGTCTTCCACCCACTGGTTCATTCCGCAGATGGCCCCAATGGACGGAGATGCAGTGATCCAAAGGCAGGAGCTAGGAGCTTCTTCTGGGTCTCCCACATGGGTGCAGGGGCCCAAGGACTTGGTCCATCTTCTACTGCTTTCCTAGGCCATAGCAGAGAGCTGGATTGGAAGTAAAGCAAAGGTGCCCATATTGGATGACTGTGCTTCAGGCCAGGGTGTTAACCCACTGTGCCATAGCACCAGCCCCGTTGGTCTGTTTTTGTTGTTTATATATTCTTGCTTTAATCTTAGTAGGTTATATCAATTCAGGAATTTATTCATTGTTTCAAGGTTTTTCAGTGTACTAGCATATACTTCTTCATAGTAGTTTCTTATGATCCTTGGTATTTCAGTGGTGTTTTCTTCAATGATTCCTTCATTTCTTATTTATTTGAGTTTTTTTTCTCTTTTTCATTGTTAGTCTGGCTAGAGGTTTATCAATTTTGTTTATCTTCTCAAAAAACTAACTTGTTAATGATATTTAATATTGTTTTATTAGTTTTAGTTTTGTTCTGATCCTTATTATTTTTTACCCCCTATTGATTTGGGGTTTGATTTGCTCTTCTATTCCTAAGTCTTCAAGATGCAACATTAGGTCCTTAATTTGAGACACTTCCTCTTTTAAATGTAAGCACTTAATTCTATAAACTTCCCTCTTAATGCTGCTTTTGCTGTTTGCAACAGGTTTTGATATAATGTATTTACATTTTCATTTATTTCAAGAAAGTTTTTTATTTTATTACCAATTTTTTCAATGACCCATTGATCATTTATGTCATGTTGTTTGATTTCCAAACAGTTACAAGTGTTCTATTATTCTTGTTGTTGATTTCTAGTTTTATTCTTTTATGGTCTGAGAAGATTGTGGTATTATTTCAATCTTTTTAAATTGGTTATATCAAAACCAAACACAATAGATGAAAACTACACACCTATATCCCTAATAAACCTAAATGCAAAGATTCTCCACAAAATACTAGCAAATCAAATCCAAAACCACATAAAAAAGATGAGGTCAGCACCGCAGCTCACTAGGCTAATCCTCCGCCTGCAGTGCCGGCACTCCAGGTTCTAGTCCCAGTTGGGGTGCTGGTTCTGTCCCAGTTGCTCCTCTTCCAGTCCAGCTCTCTGCTGTGGCCCAGGAGTGCAGTGGAGGATGGCCCAAGTCCTTGGGCCCTGCACCTGCATGGGAGACCAGGAGGAAGCACCTGGCTCCTGGCTTCGGATTGGTGCAGTGCACATTCCATCGAGGCCACTTGGGGGGTGAACCAATGGAAAAGGAGGACCTTTCTCTCTGTCTCTCTCTCTCACTGTCTAACTCTGCCTGTTTAAAAAAAAAAGGATGATACATCAAGATCAAGTGGGATTTATCCCAAAAAAGTAAGAGTGATTCAAAATTCACAAAACAATAAACATCATAAATCAGGGCTGGTGCTGTGCACAGTGGGTAAAGCCACTGCCTGCAGTACTGGAATCTCATATTGGTGCTGATTTGAATCCCAGATGGTCCACTTCTGATCCAGCTCTCTGCTATGGCCTGGGAAAGCAGTAAAAGATGGCCCCAAGTCCTTGGGCCCCTGTATCACCATGGGAGACTTGGAAGAAACTCCTGGCTCCTGACTTCAGATTGGCCCAGCTCTGGCTGTTGTGGCTATTTGTGGAGTGAACTAGCAGATGGAAGACATCTCTCCTTCCTTTTCTATCTCTGCCTATGACTCTCCATGTCTCCACCTTTCAAATAAATAGATATTTTTAAAACTAACATAAATTATATTAACAGAAAGAAGAACAGAAAAACATATGGTCATTTCAATAGACGTAGAGAAAGCATTTGAGAAGATTCAACACACCTGCATGATAAAAACTCTCCACAAACTACATACAAATGGAACACTCCTAACTATTATAGAAGAAATAAATGGCAAGCCAACAGCCAATATCATACAGAATGGGGGAAATCTGAATGCACTTCCCCTCGGATCTACAAGACAAGGTGTCTGCTTTCTCCACTCTTATCAATATTGTACAGAAAGTTTTAGCAAGAACAATTATGGGACAGAAAGAAATAAAGGACATCAAAATTAGAAAACAAGAAGTCACAATTTCCATGTTTCAAGATGACATTATGTTGTACATGGAAAAACCTAAACACTCCACCAAAAAGCATTAGAATTGAGAAATCGGTTCAGTAAAGTTGCAGGTTACAAACATAAAAACAACCTAGTAGGCTTATTTTTGTATGCTAATGATGAACTCACAGAAAGAGAAATCAAGAAAGAAATGCCATTCACAATAGCCACAAAAAATCAAATGTTTAGAACAAATTTAAACAAAGAAGTGGAAGATCTCTACAGTGAAAATTATCAAACATTTATGAAAGAAATCATCAAGGACACACAAAAAGTGGAAAAATATTCCTTGCTCATTGATCAGAAGAAACAATATCATTAAAATATCTACATTGCCTAAAGCAATCAGAAAATTCAATGGAATCATTATCAATAAAAAACAATGATATTCACTACAGAACAAGAAAAAGCAATCCTAAAATTCATATGGAATTACAAAAGACCCAGAATAGCCAAAGCAATGCTAAACAAGAAAAATCTAACTCAAGGCATCACAACACCTGACTTCAAAGCATCCTACAAAGCTATGGTAATTAAAATAGCATTGTACTGGCATAAAAACTGATATGCAGATCAATGGATGAGAATAAAAAGCCCAGAAATCAATCAGCATACATACAGAAAGCTTCTGACAAGAGTGGACTTAGATCATATGGTAGAGTAAGGATAATCACTTCAAGAAATGATGCTGGCAAAACTGGATGTATATATGTAGACGAATGAAATTATATCCTTACCTCTAACTGTATACAAAAATCAACTCAAGATGTTTCCAAGACATTTTTTTTGACCAGCAGAGTTAGACAGTGAGAGAGAGAGACAGAGAGGTCTTCCTTCCATTGACTCACCCCCCAAATGGCCTCTATGGCCGGCACGCTTCACCGAAGCCAGGAGCCAGGTGCTTCCTCCTGGTCTCCTATGCAGGTGCAGGGCCCAAGCACTTGGGCCATCCTCCACTGCCTTCCTGGGCCACAGCAGAGAGCTGGACTGGAAGAGGAGCAACTGGGACAGAACCAGCGCCCCGGGCAGATGATTAGACTAGTGAGCCGCGGCGCCAGCCAGTTTCCAAGACATTTAAGACCTGAGACAGTGAAGTTACTGGAAGAAAATGTAGGGAAACCCTCTAAGACATTGGTCTTATAGGGTATGACTTCTTGGGAAAGACCCCCAAAACACAGACAACAAAAGTCACACTAAATAAATGGGACTATACTAAACTTAGAAGCTTTTGCACAGCAAATGAAATGATCAAGAATGAAGAGACACCAAACAAAATGGAAAAAATGTTGCAAGCCACCAATCTGACAAAGATTAATATCCTGAATATATCATCAACTTAAAAAAGAAACTCACCTAAAAAACCAACCAAATCAGTTGTTAAATGAGCAAAGAATTTCAGTAGACATTCCTCAAATGAAGAAATACAGATGGCTAACAAATATTTGAAAAATGCTCAACATCACTAGCCATTGGGGAAATGCAAATCAAAACCACGAGATATCATCTCACCCAGGTAAAATGTTTAAAATTCAAAACACAGAGAATAACAAATTCTGGTGAAGATGTAGACAAAGGGGAACACTTATACACTGTTGGTGGAAATGTGTATTTGCAGTCATTGTGGAAAACATTGTGGATATTTCTTTTTTTAGTGTATGTGCTGCCAAAGTGAGCACAAGTGTGGGGATTTCTTAAACAAAAACAACAACAAACAAAAAAAAAACTAAAAACAAACAAAAAAACTAGAAATAGACTTGCCATATGACCCAGCAATCCAATGACTGGCCATGCACCTAAACTGCCTTTTTTCCATTAATACTACACACTCAGATGGCAAAATGAAAGTGTCATATTACAGACAAACATAGTTTTGTGTCAAAGAGAATAATACATTAAGACAGTAGCACTTTAAATATAAAAGTACATATTTCTTTATAATTATTGTTTTACCCAAATACGTCACAAGTAAACAAAAGTGTTGTCTAATTACCAAAGTGATTATTTTCCGGTAATAAATTTCTGATACTTTAACTAAAGTTATAATTCTATGGTCTGGCATTGTGGTGTGGTGAATGAAGCTGGTTTGAGTTCTGGCTTCTTCACTTCCAATCCAGACCCCTAGTAATGTGCCTGAAGAGGCAATGGAAGATAGCTCAGGTAATTGTGCCCCTGCCACCCAGCTGGGAGACCAGAATGAAGTTTCCGGCTTCTTGCTTTGGTCTGGCCCAGACCTGGATGTTGCAGTTCACAGAGCGAACCCTGTGGATGAAAAGCCTCTCTATCCCCCTCTCTCTCTCCACTTTTCTTTGGCTCTGCCTTCCAAATAAATAAATCTTTTAAAAACCTTAGTAAATGCACAGGCACATTATATTCTCCTGGAATGGGCATTAAAACAGTTAATAGATGCTATGCATTGAGAATACGTTATATATAAAGTGCTTTATATACAATAATTCATTTACCTCTAGATTTATGTGCCTTCTATTTACATTTCCAGTTTACAAGCTAAAACATTAAAATGTTTATATTATTGTAAATACTAACAGTTAACAATTAAAATACAACCTAGGCCATTGTGCTATTCAGCCTAGTATTATGATGACAGTTAGGATGCTACAATCCCATCCTTCCCTCTTTCCCTCTACCACTTCTTCTGTTTCTCTATCTTATAAGCAAATGCTTCTTTTTTCTTTTTGCAAAAACCTATTTTAGAAATCACCAAAGAACAAGAACAAAGATTTCAGCAAATAGGGTATATGGTTGGTGGTAAACATCTAAGTACATAAGAAGTTTTAAACACAGATTTCAAATGAGTCCACAATGTGATAATACTATACACTTATACAAATAGGTAAAGAAGAGTACTAGGAGGAGGAAGAATTATAGTGAATAAGGAGAAGCAAGACAACAAACATTTTCACTCCTTGCTTTTGCAAATGCAAAATGGTGTGGTGCAGTTACTTTGAAAAATAGTTTGACAGTCAATTCTGAAGTTAAAACTGTACTTACCACTTTACCCAGCAAATCTACTACTATTTAACAGTCAACAGAAAATTCTATACACGGTCTTTTCAAAGGTGAATGTATAAACTATGATGCACCCATCCAGTGAAATTCCATCCCCAAATCAAAACAATTATAGGCCGGCGCCGTGGCTCAATAGGCTAATCCTCCACCTTGCGGCGCCGGCACATGGGGTTCTAGTCCCGGTTGGGGCGCCAGATTCTGTCCCGGTTGCCCCTCTACAGGCCAGCTCTCTGCTGTGGCCAGGGAGTGCAGTGGAGGATGGCCCAAGTCCTTAGGCCCTGCACCCCATGGGAGACCAGGATAAGTACCTGGCTCCTGCCTTCGGATCAGCGCGATGCGCTGGCCGCAGTGCGCCAGCCGCGACCATTGGAGGGTGAACCAACGGCAAAAGGAAGACCTTTCTCTCTGTCTCTCTCTCTCACTGTCCACTCTGCCTGTCCAAAAAAAAAAAAAGAAACAATTATACACTGACATGAAAATATCCCAATGGGATCCCCAGTGGAAAGACGAAAGGGGCAGTGCCAGCAGTTCCCATCACAGTTTGCACCTCCCCCTTCCTCTGGTTGCCAAATGGTGAGCTTCATCTGACCATTTCTCCTCCTTTCTTCTGTTACACTTCTCATTTAGATCAGATTGAAGGTCCTGAGAGTATTTCTGTAGAACGAAGCAGTCCATAGTGGAAACAGTTGGCCATTTTTCTGTTGAGACCCATTCCATCCTCCCTCAGATCTGTCCCAAACCAAATATCAGCCCACCAATAACTTCCTGCTGGGGGATCCTGGTAAGGGATACAGAGGTTTGGTGGTTTCTGCATTATTCACGTTCTGTACCCTCTGTCTTTCCTCCCTGGCTTTGGATTTTGCCCGTGCTTCAGTGTTGCAAGAGTCTGGATTTGAGTCTTTAAAACCATCACATAAAATGACAAAGAGAACTGCTTTTGCTTGTACCTTAGATGTTTGTTTTCTTGCCAGTTTTCTTGCCTTTCCCATTGTACTCTGGACTTTCTCTCTCTTTTCATTACTTCTTCCTCTTTCCTTTCCTCTCCTCTGCCAGGCTACTTTTCAATTCCACTTCAGAGATACTTCAAATGCTTATATCTGATAATACCTTTTATTTTTTAAGATGACTACAGACATATTTTAGATGTGTTTTCAGAACAGTTCTGAACAGCAACTTTTTAAGCACCTTCTAGTGTTAGGATGGTGGGAAATGTCCATAGGTGAGTCTGTTGTTCTGTGTCCCACCCAGTGTCCACAGTCTCTTCTGAGCTCTCGCCTTCCTCCCCTAGTTTGGGTGGGTACATCTGCAGTTTGTAAAGAGTGGTTTGTGAACCTGGACCTCCCTGTCTTATTCAGAAATCTCACCCTTTCTTTCTCCTTGCCCTGTCTTCTCATTCATCCCCCTCATCGCCTGCCTCTCCTGGGGCTATGGACTGGCAGAGTAATCCCAGAAGAGGAATGGATCTCATAAACAAATGCATCCATCCCCTCACAGAAAGACAAGTGAAGGAGCCGCTGGAGTCCTGGAAACTTCTGGTTGGATTTTGGCACACTGAACCTTCTTAGGTGATCAGCTCCCAGAGTGAATAGCATTACAATCAGCTAAGCAAGAAAGCTATTTTTCTTTGGAACTGTGAATATCCCTACTTGTGAAAACACTGTAGGAAGAGAGGAGGGATGTCTGTGGATGTTTGTCTCAAAACCTAAAAAAAAGAGAGAAAAAGGGAGAAGGAAGGAAGTGGGAGGCAGGAATATCATTATGTTCTTAGAACTGTATCTACAAATCTCATTGAATATTTTGAAACTAATTAAAATTTTAAATTTAAAAATTTAAAATGTGAATTAAAATTACATGTAAATTTCAAAAAAATTAACAAAAATCAGATAGTTCAAAGAATGGAAATCTTTTGTGATGGCTGATTCTCAGGGATAAGCTGGTTCTCCAATGTTTGGGGAATACTTTGACTCTCAAAAACCAATAGCCAGAAAAGTATTTTTTTAAAAAACTACATTCGTGCTTGATTTGTGTTCCAGAGATGTGGATGAGTATAAATGAAGCACACAGGGCCATTTTTGGTATATGGTGAGTAATTGTGCAAAAGCCTGGATGTCCACTAAATTAAACATCCATGTGTATGCCCTCATCCTGGAATGAAAGTGCTTACTGGTCACCCCTAAAGCATACAGGGTCAATATAATACATTTGATAAACTATGCCCATTGCAATTTATACATTCCTGCTCTCAAAGCACTCCAATATGCTTTTTTTTTGACAGGCAGATTTAGACAGTGAGCAAGAGAGAGAGAGAGACAGAGAGAAAGGTCTTCCTTCTGTTGTTTCACCCCTTAAATGGCTGCTATGGCCAGTGCGCTGCGCCGATCTGAAACCAGGAGCCAGGTGCTTCTTCCTGGTCTCCCATGCAGATGCAGGGCCCAAGCACTTGGGCCATCCTCCACTGCACTCCCAGGCCACAGCAGAGAGCTGGACTGGAAGAGGAGCAACCAGGACAGAACCAGCGCCCCAACCAGGACTAGAACCTGGGGTGCCGGCGCTGCAGGTGGAGGATTAGCCTACTGAGCTGCAGCGCCAGCCTCCAATATGCTTTTAAATTATCCATAAAGGATATAGTATGTGCGTGTGCACACACACACCCCAAATGGTATGTACACTCTGTCACTGTCTCTTATTCTCAGTTTCTATTTCTCCAACTTCCTATGTATTTATCTACCTAACAATGTGCAGTGTATCTGTCAACTCTTATCCTTTATATGTCATCCTTTCTAGACTTAACATTGTGAATATTTTCTATACTGATTCTGCTATTTTGCACCATTCATATAAAATAAATATTTACTATTAAAACAGTGGCAAACAAAACCAAGAAAAACATTTTCTCTGCCATCCCCTGATACTGTCAACATGTCAGTTTTCCCCTAATTAATCCATAATTCAATGCAATTTCAATCAAAGTTCCAGGAAGTTTTCTTTCAGATTCTAACAAACTAACTCTAAAGTTTATACAGAGAAGCAGAAGACTTAGAAGAGCCAGAACAATTTTGAAAGAAGAAATAGAGAAGACTATTTAACTTTAGGACTTAATAATAAAGCTACAATAATTAAGACAGTGTGGTTCTAGCAATTTTATCACAATGGACAAAACTTTAAAGCAACCAAGTGAATGGATAAATCACTGTTACATCCAAAAAAAACAGGTTATTATTCAGTTTTAAAAATAAATGTGCTATTAAAGCATGAAAATACAGGGGTGAACCTTAAGGTCATTACTGAATGAAAGAAACTTATCTAAAAATGCTACACATGTATAATTCTGAAAGGAGTTAGAGTAAGGAAGATCAGGGAGACAGAAAGGACGAAAGGCCCCCACCATCCATGACCTTGTAATGTGAAGGAATGTAAAAGATTTGGGAAGCTCTGGCACCCATGTGTCCAGGTGACCCAATCTATGGTGATCATGTACCTATAGCTAGTTTTGGGATTCTGATGTTGATAAGCACCTCCCCTGTCAGACCCTGAGAAAAGATGCTTTTTTCTTCTCTGTGGAGAGTCCTTTTTCATATATAATATGTATATATATTCATATATACTACTAAATATAGTACTTTATATATTCATATATACTACTAAGTTACAGTGGAATTCTTTCCCCTCTGGCTACAAGAGTTCTTCCCCTTCCAATACAATTCTTTGCTGATAGCCTTATTGCTCATTCATCCACCACATTCTTGATCATCAATGGAACACATTTTTAGTGCTCAGATCAGTGGTAACATCTTGGTGGATTGGCCAGGAACCTCTCTTTTGACTGCTCCAACAGTTAGTATGAGGAGGCATGAGATTTGTCTTAGGGTCAGGAGAGGTAGGATGTCTGTGTTAGGTTGGCTAGAGCACCATGGAAGCTTGCCCACAGGGTCCAATTGAGAGTTGCTAGCTGGAACCCCAGGACAACTAAGGCTGGAAGGTTCCTATTGGGGACATTCCCATTACTGTCATGGGCATGGGCAAAGGAAGCCCTCCTTTCATAAACAGGTGGGGAAGGGATGTTCAGGAGATGTCTTGTCTGTTAAGACCCATAAAAGGCCCCTCCCCCCCTCTTCCGCTGCCTGCCCATCATATCCAAGGCAGTTGTAGGCCCAAGGGGAGATTGTGCCTCTAGAGGAAGCAGCTTCTCTCTCTCCTTCTGCCTGCCCTCCATATTCAGAAAAATCACAGGCACAAGAAAGTGTGTCCTCAGGGGAAAAGGCCCCACCCCCTCATCTTCCTCCTTCAGTTTTCCCTCCTTATCTGGAGAGACCACGGGGGAACAGATCCCTTCTCTTCCCCCTTCAATTTGTCCATTTTATCCAGAATTGCTACCTAAGGCTTCATCCCCTTGGCAGCCTTCTCCTCTGGTACAGGGAATTTATAACAGACTATTTCCATTATGGGAAATACAGAAAGGAAAGATTGGGCCAACAAAATGCAGGATTCTTTTTCTCTCCAGAATTTAGAACAGATTAAGGCTAAACTGGGTAAATTCTCTGGTAACCGGGTTAAGCATCAGCCCCTTTTCAAGTCTGACACAAATATTTGATTTAATTGGAAGGACATGCTTTTGCTCTTCAATTTGATTATATCCCAAAATCAGATGGAGACAATTTTAAGGGCTGCAGCAAAGTGTGCAGATGACTTACATGTCACATATAAAAACACTAATATAGATGACCACAGCAGGTGTGCAGTGGGATAAGATTTTCCTCTCATAGTCTCACTTGTTACAGGTACCCAAACCCAATGTAGCTGGTGTTCACTTTCATTGCCCACTGATTGTGATGATAATCCATCTCTATGGAGTGTAGCTGAAGTGGGAACACTGGCTGCCCTTGTCTTTCCCACCCCTGCATCAACAACACACGCTTATTAAGAGATCAGCTAGTCTGTGTACTTGCTAAAACATCCAATGCCACTGCTACTGCTTTATCATCTATAAATGATGAGTTAAGTGAGGTCTGATGAGAAGTCTTACAAAACCAAGCTGCTGTTGACTATCTCTTACTGAAAAATAAAGTGGGGTGCTGGGAGCTAGCAGGAATGTGCTGCTTCAATTACACTGATAATTCCAATTTAATTCAAAAGGAGATTGATAAAACACATGAATAAATAAATAAAATTCACACTTCAACCTTCAAGCTGTTTAGAGATTGGAACTAGATCTAATGGCTATGGTCTTTTCTAGGGTCCATATCTCTACCACTCATCATACTTTTATTTGGAATCTATATACTAAATTGCTTTACACAATTTATCTCTTCCAGAATTCCCCCACTACAGATAGTGTTGCAATAAAAACCTGATACAGACAAACCTTATTAGTGTGAGCCCTTAGATGATTCCCACTGATGCAGTCCCTGGCTGCCAGTTCCCCATGATGACTCTGCTCAGCAGAAAGTAGCCAGAATGAACAGTGGTCCCATTTTCCCTAACTGAAGTTAGAGATTCCATTCTGGATTAAGAAATGACAGGAGTTAGAGTATGGAAGATCAGGTAGACAGAAAGGGCAAAGGGCCCCCACCACTGATGGCCTCGAAATGTCAAGTGATGTAAAGGATTTTGGTAATTAATCAGGAGAAAACCCAGCTTCAGCACCAAGGTGACCAGGAGGGCCATTTATGATTACCATGTGCCTGCAACCAGTTTTAGGATCCTGATGAAAATAAGCAACTCCACTGACAGATGCTAAGATACAATGCTCTCACTGCTCCATAGAGTCCTAATACTATGTTACAGAGGAACTCTTTCTTCTCTTGGTTAGAGGAGTTATTATCTTTGACTGTTTCAATAAAGTTCTTTGCAAATCACCTAATCATCTACTCATTCATTTTTGGCCACATTCTTTGTCATTGATGAGACAAGTTCCTGGGACTCAGATCAGTGGTAACAATTCTGAGTATATAACACTATGGAAAGGGGAAGAACTATGGGTACAGTTAAAAAGATCAATGATTTCCAGGAGCTGAAGGGTTGGAGAAATTAATAGGTAGGGAACAATTCCTAGGGCAGTGAAACCATTCTGTATGATACTCAAATTGTGGGTATGTGTGCACCCAAATGTAGACTATACCAATGCAGTTCATCAGTTATATCTAGTGTATCATTGTAGTACAGGAATTGTGTCTGGAACAAGGGATATGAAGGGATAATTTTTGTTCAGTTTTGTTCTGAACATAAAATGCTAAAAAATAATCTTTGCTAAATAAAACAAGAGAAAATATTTGCAAATTATTTATCTAGTAATGGACTTTCAGACATAATGGAATTCAAGGGAAAACAATTCAAAAATGGGCAAAGAATTTGAATACTTTTTCCAAGATATACATATGGCAAATAAATATATGAAAAGTTGCTCAGCGGGCCCGGTGCTGTGGTATAGTGGGTAAAGCTGCCGCCTGCAGGGCCAGTATCCCATATGTGCACTCGCTTGAGTCCTTACTGCTCCACTTCCAATCCAGTTCTCAGTTATGACCTGGGAAAGCAGTAGAAACCGGTCAAGTCCTTGTGCCCCTGCACCCATGTGGGAGAAACAGAAGAAGCTCCTGGCTCCTGGCTTCAGATCAGCCCAGCTCCAGCTGTTGCAGCCAATATTGGAGTGAACCAGAAGGTGGAAGACCTCTCTCTCTCTCTCACTCACTCACTCTCACTCTCTCTCACTCTCCCCCTCTCTCTGGGTAACTCTGACTTTCAAATAAAGAAATAAATAAAGCTTTTTTAAAAAAATTGCTCAACACAGTAGCCACCAGCAAATGAAGATCAAAATCAAAATAAGACACTACTTCATACATATACCCAAACACACACACACACCCCACACACAAGTGTTGGTGATAAGAGGGAGACATTGGAGCCCTCATGCAGTACTGTTGGGAATATAAAATGGGACATCCATTTTGTAAAACAATCTGACAGTTTTCTAAAAGTTAAATATAGATTTACCATATCCAGCAGTCCTATTCTTACATATATAACCAACAGAAACTAAAACAAAAGTTTGCACTCAAATTTTTGTTAAGCAGGGAATGGACACATACAATGGATTATTTCAGATCAAAAGCAATTAAGTACTGATATATGACACAACATGAAAACTTGGATGTTACAGTAAGTGAAAGGAGCCAATCACAAAGAACTACATTACTACACAAGTCCATTTATATGAAACGTCCAGAAGAAAATGATCCATATAGATTGAATATAGATTGTACTTTTTTGTGGTAGGGGTTTGGGAGGAAATGTAGATTGCCTGTTTGTGTACATTGAGTTTAAATTTATGAAAATTTTCTAAAATTATAATAGTTTCAGAATTCTGATTATATGAAAAAGCAGTTGAAATATATTTTGGGTGAATTGTACCACATGTGAATTATAAGCTAATGCAATGTACAATAAATACATGGAAAGACATTTTGCATTTATGGACAATTTATCCAAAGTCATCTACAGATCTGATGCATTCCTATCAAAATCCTAATGGCATTTTGTTTGGAGGAATAGCAAAGTCAGTGCCAAAAGTAATATGGAGTCTCATAGGATCCTAAATAGTCATAGCATCTGTGAAAAAGAAAACGTTGGAGGTTTCACATCTTCTTATTTCAAAAGATGCTAAATAGTTGCACTAATAAAAACATTGTGATATTGCCACAAGGCAGATGTGTAGGCCAATGAAATAAAGACTCATAAATCAATGATATAATTTGCTCAAATAAGGTTTGACAAGTGTACAAAGACTACTCAGTGGAGGATTGACAGTTCAACAAATGGGTGTTGGGAAAACTGAGTGACCACATGCAAAATAATGGAGTTAGACCTTGCCTTATACCAAGCATGAAGGTTAAATCAAACTGAATCAAAAAAAATTATACTATTTAAAATTATAGAAAGTTTAAAAGAAAGGCTTCAAGACACATATTTGGTGTTGGTTTATACATTATAAAGCAAAAGTGAAAAAAATTTTAATGCATGGAAATTAAAAACGTATGTGGACACAATCAAGAGAGTGAAAAGGAAACCTATGGAATGGGAGAAAATATTTGCAAATCATGGATCTGATGAGGAGCTAATTTCCTGAGAAAATAAAGAGCTGAACTTAGCAAAAATTTTAAATTAAAAAATCTTAATTTTTAAATGGTCAAAGGAAGTGTACAGACATTTCTCTAAAGTTTATATAAAATGGGGGCTGGCACTGTGGCATAGTGGGTAAAGCCACTACCTATAGTGCTGACATCTCATATGGGCACTGGTATGAGTCCCAGCTGCTCCACTTTCCATCCAGCTCTCTGCTATGGCCTAGGAAAGCAATAGAAAATGGCCCAAGTCCTTGGGCCCCTGCACCTGTGTAGGGGGCCTGGAAGAAGCTCCTGGCTCTTGGCTTCAGATCAGTGCAGCTCCAGCAATTGAGGTCAACTGGGGAGTGAACCAGTGAATGGAAGATCTCTCTCTCTCTTTCTCTTTCTCTTTCTCTCTCTGTCCCTCTCCTTCTCTCTTTGTGTAACTCTTTCAAATAAAATAAATAAATCTTTTTTTAAAAGTTCATATAAAATAGCTAGTAAGCATTTGAAAAGATGTTCAATTTCATCATTTAGCATAGGAATGCAAATCAAAATCATGAGATACCACCCCATTCTCATTAGGGTGGCTACTACTTTTTTTTACTTTTAAGAGACAGGGTTCCCAATCCACTGTTTCATTCCCCAAGTGCTCACAGACGTTGGGGTTGGGGCAGGTCAAAGATGGGAAATGGAAACTCAATCCAGGTCTCCCACATGGATAGCAGGGACTAACTTCTTGAGCTATCATCTGTTGCCTCTAAGGGTACACATTAATAGAAAGCTGGAATTAGGAGCAGAGTTGGGACTTGAACCCAGGACTTCCAATATAGGATGCATGCCTCTCAACTCATGCCTTAACCACTAGGCCAATGCCTGTCCCTGGGATGCTAGACAATAAAACAAAACAAAATCAAGTCCTCATAAGGAATGGAGACATCAGATCTTTGTGCACTGTGGTAGGAATGGTAAAATTATGCTGTCCCTGTGGAAAACAGTATGGCAGTTTCTCAGAAAAATTAAAAGAAAGGAGTTTGGATGTATGAAAGGAAGGTGACAGGCTTTCAGCACTGGCCTTCACCACTGGCTGTTCCAGCACACAGTCTGTAGCCAGTTGGTGAATCATAGCAGCCCCTTTGCTATAATCTGGAACCCACTGCAATTAAAACCTTGACAAAATTAATGTCTTTGGATCTCTCATCAAAAAAAAAACAAAAGGAAAGAAGCAGAATTTTCCAAGACTCAGAAGTTTCCAGTAAGGTAGTACCCTGCAATTCCAATGAGATTAAGGAGAAGAATCCAGCAGAATTCTGGTTTTGGTAAGACTAGTCTGAGCTATACAAGAAGTGTTATGCCTAGGAAGAGACATCTTTAAAGAATTACTGATCTTGAAGCCAGGAAAGGAAACAGATTTGAAAAGGAACTAGTCCTGTGAATATTTGCCTCCAAGAGACAGAATTTAGAACAGTATCTCCTAAATAAAAAGAAGACAAACCAGATACAAAATGAAGTGCAGAGGAAACCAATTGCAATCCCCAAGAGATCTAACCAGTTAAACAGGAAAAATAACATTCAAGCTAATTTCACCAGTAGTGGGAATAAAGAAATCCATCAGAGATTTATTAGCCAATGCATCTTTTCAGGGGAGGCCTGAGGGTTCAGGCCCAGTTGAACCCAGGACAACTACTATGTAGTAATAAAGAGAACTCATCAATGATGGAATTATGCAAATAGAGGAATTTAAATATCACCCATTGATTATCCAGGAGCAATGTAGTGCTCATCAATTCAGAAATCATAATTAATTCATACTACTGAAACTATTCTTCACAAAATTGGAGTAAGTTGATGTAAAAAGAAAGTTCATAAAGAAATTCCCCTACAATTTGATATAAATAGTGCTGGAAAACAGGATGACTTTGAGTGAGCAGGTTGAGCTCCTGAGGGAATAAAGAGCCACTCTCATGTTCAACAATAGAGGAAGAAACTTTACAACCACAGAAAATAACTCATGTAAAAGGAACTTTTGAATGATGACTCAGAAAAGTTAAATTGCCCGATGAGTTCATCAGAAATATTATGGAAATGTTACTGCAAGACATTCACAAGCTAAATGATTCTTGTTTTTAAAAAATTACTTTCATTTTTATTTGAAAGGAAGAGGGAGGGAGGGAGGGGGAAAGAGAGAGAGAGAGAGAGAGAGAGAGAGAGGTCTTCAATCTGCTGATTCACTTCCCAAATGCCTGTAACAGCAGCAGCTGAGTTAGGCCAAAGCCAGGCACATAGAACTCAGTTCAGTTTTGTAATGTGGGTGGCTTTACCCACTGTGCCACAGCGGTATTTAGCATATTACCACCCTTGCTCAGCTTTTTAGATTTTGTCATGGTAAATCTTGGTCTTCAAAAGCATAAGTGGTCTCTTTCTGTCCCTTATCCTTTAATGTTGATGTAGTAAATGCAGTTTCATTTTCATTAGAAACTATGTGTGTATGTGTGAATATATATATATATATATATAGAGAGAGAGAGAGAGAGAGAGAGAGCAATAAAACAAAACAAAACAAATAAAAAATTTAAGAAAGCTTAGACTGCAGTCAAAGGGGTTCTAGAGACATAATAAAGGCATTGGTTACTTACTGTAAGGCATATGGAAACACCTGAAGGAAGATGTAACTTCAGGTAAAGGGCAGAGAGGTACCCAAAGGTGGCAATGAACTGGAAACTAAGCCAATGAAGTCACTTCAGGGTGGCAACAAAATCATTCTGGACAAGGAATGCAGATACTTGAGAGAATATCAAGGCCATATGGAGAGGAGCTTGAGAATACGGACATTGCCATGGGATGCAGGTACAAGGAAGACACTCAAGGAAAAATGTGATGGAGACACAGGAAATGGAGACTTATGTTGCAGGCACAAAGAGTAGACATTGAAAGTTGACATGGATGACAGAGGTTTTACAAACTATGACATAGAAGGGAAGACATGAGTCATTGTTATATGAGATGATGCTTCTGGAGAGAACAAAGCAGTATGACTCAGACGATGCAAATTGGAGTGGGATATGAAATAAAAAGGCAACTAAAGAGCATCTTTCATAAACATACAATATACTAAACAAAATACTTTTATATGAATTAAACCATATAATAGATCAATGTCAACCAAGATACACTAAAGATGCAGGAATTTTTAACACTCGCAAACAAATCATGTAAATCATCCAGGTAGATGAAAAATATGAGAAACTATGATAATTTACATGAAGTGTATTAAAAGTATTTAGTAAAATTCAGGCTCCAGCCATAAAAATCATCTGTCAGAAAGATGATTAAAAAGTGATTTCCTTACATATATCAATATTGTCTAAAATGAACTTATGAAAAACAACTTAATGCAGAAATATATTTCCTTGGAATCCCACACAGACAAGACTACCTCTTCTTATCTCCTGGAGCTGTATTCAGGTAAACAAAATGCAAAAAATGAATACCAAGTATAAGTATCAATTTCTTTTTTTTATTTTTATTTTTGACAGGCAGATTTAGACAGTGAGTGAGAGAGAGAGACAGAGAGAAAGGTCTTCCTTTCCATTGGTTCAACCCCAAAGTGGCCGCTACAGCCAGTGCGCTGTGCCGATCTGAAGCCAGGAGCCAGGTGCTTCCTCCTGGTCTCCCATGAGGGTGCAGGGCTCAAGCACTTGGGCCATCCTCCACTGCACTCCTGGGCCACAGCAGAGAGCTGGACTGGAAGAAGAGCAACCGGGACAGAATCTGGCACCCCGACCGGGACTAGAACCCTGGCTCCTGGCACCACAGGTGGAGGATTAGCCTAGTGAGCCGTGGCACTGGCCGAGTATCAACTTCTAAGCAGTACATCTGTCAATGTATGTGGCTGACACTATTACATACAGAGATAATTCAACATAATAAAAGAGCTAATACAAACTGTTAATTTAGTGAGGCCACTGGGTAGAAGATAATCAACTAGACTTGATTGTTAAGAAACAAATATAAAATCTTGATGTACCAAAGACAGACTAATAAAAACATATTTACAAGAGAAATGAATTACAAATGATAAAAAAGTAATATCTTCATTCTTTCATATATTTTAAGAAAAGATCCAGCAGAGAAATCTCCTGAGAATAATGAAGGAAAGAAGAGGCCCAGAACTCAATAAACACCCAGTAAATTGTAACTCACCTTCATTAAATTACTACAAGCTCCTGATCGCAGGATTTCTGCAGGAACGCAAAAGTGACTGCTGGGAAGTCAGGGCCTTGGACCAGGACGATTCAGATCTGCCCCAGCCAGGCCTCTCAATCGCTAACCTCGTCCCCTGCTATGGAAGATACTGATTGGCTACAGCTTTGTGACGTCTGTCCAACCAGGCACACCTGTGGCAACATTACATAATCCTTTGAGATCTTCACGTCATAATGGTAGCCAGGCACTGCTGCAGAGAGGGTCTCCGAATATTCACCCTTTGGTACTCTGTGAAGAGGAAGCCAAACACCTCGGAAGCTGGGAAATGGTGAGTCTATGAGACCAGGTGTACCAAGGAGGAGGTGGAGTTGGCCAAACTGCTGGAACTGGCTGTTGGGTGACCTGGACTTCCTCATAGATTGCTCTGGAATTGGGTGACTCTTGGGTAATCCTCAGGCAGCTCTCTTTGTGTCCCCTGTACCTGTGGGGTGAGGGCCAGGCTGCCCCCAGGCCTCCCAGCAACCTTTCCTGTCCTGTTCAGCTTGGCCCTGGAGCCCCCAGCAGCTTTGTGCCCACTGCCTTCTACCCAATTTTACTGCACAAAGCTCCCAGCAAAATTTCACTTAGAGACAGAGTATACCCCATTGCCTTGTTTCTGATGTTAGCCTTCCATCTGGTGAGTACTCACAATACCAAACATGATATTACCTACAAGGCAACATTTATACAATTTATCATATGGAGGAAGTTGCCTTCAATCCCAAGTTTGTATCATGTAAGACTTTGTCAGCTTTTTTCATTTATTCATGATTGTGAATATTTTGTCTTATAATAAAATTTATTTATGTTCACTGATATTTTTAAAAAATTAATTTATTTGAAAGGCAGAGTTACAAAGAAGCAGAAGCAGAGAGAGAGGGGTCTTCTATCTGCTGGCTCACTCCCCAAATGGCTGCAATGTTTAGAACTGGGCCTATCCAAGGCCAGAAGCCAGGAGCACCTTCTGGATCTCCCACGCACATCCAGGGGCCCAAGGACTTAGGCCATCTTCTACTGCTTTCCCAGGCATAGAAGAGAGCTGGATGAGAAGTGGAGCAGCCGGGTCTCACATTGGTGCCCATAGGGGATGCTGGGTAGGCAGTGGCTTTACCTGCTACATGAGGAGTAAGTGCACAGTGACTCCTGTTGTTGATTCAACAATTGACACTCTTCTTTATGACATCAGTAATCACCCAAGGTTCTTGTCATGAGCTGCCAAGGCTATTGAAGCCTCTTGAGTTCACAAACTCTGACCTTATTTAGACGAGGACATAACTAAAGTGGAAGTCCTCTCCTCCCTTCAGAGAAAGGCACCTCCTTCTTTGATGGCCCCTTCTTTCCACTGGAATCTCACAGAGATCTTTTATTTAGGTCATTTTTTGCCAATGTCTTGGCATTCCATGCTTGAGAAACTCTCATGGGCTTTTTAGCCAGATCCAAATGCTTAAGGGCTGATTCTGAGGCCAGAGTGTTATTTAGGGCATTTGTCATTATATGAGTCTGCTGTGTATCCTGCTTCCCGTGTTGAATTGTTCTCTCCTTTATAATTCTATCAATTTTTATTAGCAGACGCTGGTCTTATATACGTGATCCTTTGACACTTAATCCTACCTGTATGATCAATTACGAACTTAAACTGATCACTTAAACTAGTAAGATGGCATTGGTACCTTCCAACTTAATGGGATTTGGATTCCCATGGCACGTTTCTAGCTTTGCCATTAGGGTCAGTCTAAGTGAGTGTGTGCTGAACTGTATGTCTCCTCCCTCTTATTCCCACTCTTATTTTTAAGATAGATCAATTTTCAGTTAAATTTAAACACCTAAGAATAATTGTGTGTTAATTAAAGAGTTCAACCAATGGTATTAGGTAGAAAAAGAAAATACTAAAAAAAATAAAATATCTGTTCCTCGACAGGACAAGGGCTGATCAAGTCAGTTTCTCATAGTGTAAGTTTCACTTCTACAGGCTTCCTTTTAGGTGCTCAGTTAGTTGTCAATGATCAGGGAGAACATATGATATTTGTCCCTTTGGGACTGGCTCATTTCACTCAGCATGATGTTTTCCAGATTCCTCCATTTCCTTGCAAATGACCAGATTTCATTTTATTTTACCATTGTGTAGTATTCTATAGAGTACATATCCCATAATTTCTTTTTCCAGTGTTCTTTTGTGGGTATTTAGGTAGAGTACATGTCTTAGTTATTGTGAATTGAGCTGCAACAAACATTGAGGTGCAGTTTTTTTATTTATCAATTTAATTTCCCTTGGGTAAATTCCGAGGAGTGGGATGACTGGGTCGTGTTGTAGGGCTATATTCAGGTTTCTGAGGAACCTCCAAACTGTCTTCCATACTGGCTTTACCAGTTTGCACTCCCACTAACAGTGGATTAGTATGCCTTTCCCCCCACATTCTCACCAGCATCTGTTAGTTGATTTCTGTATGTAAAGCCATTCTAACTGGGGTGAGGTGAAACCTCATTGTGGTTTTGATTTGCGTTTCCCTGATGGCTAGTGATCCTGAACATTTTTTCATGTGTCTGTTGGCAGTTTGGATTTCCTCTTTTGAAAAATGTCTATTGGCCAGCACCGCAGCTCAATAGGCTAATCCTCTGCCTGCAGCGCCAACACACTGGGTTCTAGTGCTTAGCCTCTGTTTTTGTTGTACAAGATTGCTTTAGCTATTTGAGGTCCCTTGTGCCTCCATATGAAAACATTTTACAATGTATCATTTTACTCAATGTTGAAATAAAGTTAGTTTTCCCATACAGAATAAATATTTTTTAAATGCAAAATGCAGGGTGTGGAAGATTTAGTGTTTGTCTCTGAGACAAATTACTCATAGCTACTTGAATTTAGAATAAACAATCTGTGAAATACATTTCTCTGTGGATTTTTATAAAAATGTAAAACACAAAATGAAAAAAAAGCCAGCTATGGTCTATCTTGAATTTATTATTTTATTTTGTATTTATTATATAATCATTTTCTCTAGTAGTTCTTTCTTTAACATATGTTTCATCTTATGATAAATTGATTTAGGAAGATAATTCTAAAATACAAATTATTGTTTATATAATATTTTCAACAAAGTGACTAACTGGTAAATGAAAAAACTCATAAATAATGGTATATTCCATTTTTGTTTAGGCTATAATTCTTTCATATATAAAAAGAACTGAAAACTTATGGGGGTGCAAACTGTTGAAATCTTTACTTAATGCATACTAAACTGATCCTCTGTAAAAAAAAAAAAAGAAAGAAAAAAGAAAAGAAAAGAAAAGAAACTATCAACTCCCAACTTGACTCTCACTGGGATTAAACATGACAATAGGTCTGATCTGATTTCATCATCATTAAAAAAAATCACCTATTATTTTTCACTTTATGTTTCTGTGTGGGAGCAAACTGTTGAAATCCTTACTTAATGTATACTAAGCTGATCTTCTGTATATTAAGATAATCGAAAATGAATCTTGATGTGAATGGAAGGGGAGAGGGAGTGGGAAAGGGGAGGGTTGTGGGTGGGAGGGACGGTATGGGGGGGAAGCCATAGTAATCCATTATTCATACTTTGGAAACGTATATTCATTAAATAAAAGTTAAAAAAAAAAAAAGAACTGAAAACTACATCTTTGAACATAATGTGTTCGCATGATCACATAGTAACTGAATTACCTCACAAAGACTTTAAATTTTCAATTCTTGGACTACAAACATTAACCCCAAATGTCTCTTTTTTCATCTTCTAAGTCGTACAGAATTTGTGGTCACCTTTATTGTCTAACTTTGCTATGCTTCTCACCAATACATGGTCACTGTCTGGATATGTACATATCCTCACAATCCCTCCAATGGGACAGATTTTTAAAGCCAATTCTTGTTTAGGAAACAGACACAAACTAAATAACAAATGAATCCTTTTTTAAAATTTCAGTGTAAGGGCATTGAATATGAAAGATATCGATTGAATATATAAATACGCCTTTTCCAGAAAATAAAAAATATCTGAAATCCTATAGATTAGAATTCTGGGCCCCTCAAGGAAGTCTGGGCAAAGACTTTCACCTTTTGTTATATCATTCCTAAAACAGGATTTTACATATCCCATGGCATGAGGACAGAGAAGCAAAAGATTATATTTTGATGCAGTTTTTTCCCATTATGTTCCAATTCATGTTTAAAATTGTTTCTTTCATCTATTGTATTAGTTGATCAAAATCAGAAGAGCCATAAACATTTAATGATATACATTTATTTTCAGCAATAAGTTATATTTAAAATATACAATCATTTTAGATAACCTCAGAAAAATACTTCTTTATGTACAATTACGGTATAAAAATAAATAAAACAAAATAAATAAACTTAGATATATGTATTTTGAATCTATTATCTGTCTATATTTATCTATCTATCTATCTGTATATGTATCTCTCTATCTACTTTTTTTTAACTTTTATTTAATGAATATAAATTTCCAAACTACAGCTTATGGATTACAATGGCTTCCCCCCCCATAACTTCCCTCCAACCCGCAACCCTCCCCTTTCCTGCTCTCTCTCCCCTTCCATTCACATCAAGATTCATTTTCAGTTTTCTATATATACAGAAGATCAGTTTAGCATACATTAAGTAAAGATTTCAACAGTTTGCACCCACATAGAAACACAAAGTGAAAACTACTGTTTGAGTACTCGTTATAGCATTAAATCACAATGTACAGCACATTAAGGACAGAGATCCTACATGAGGAGTAAGTGTACAGTGACTCCTGTTGTTGACTTTACCAATTGACACTCTTGTTTATGGCATCAGTAATCTCCTTATGCTCCAGTCATGAGTTGCCAAGGCTATGGAAGCCTTTCGAGTTCACCGACTCTGATCATATTTAGACAAGGTCGTAGTCAAAGTGGAAGTTCTCTCCTCCCTTCAGAGAAAGGTACCTCCATCTTTCATGACTTGTTCTTTCCACTGGGATCTCATTCCCGGAGTTCTTTCATTTAGTTTTTTTTTTTTTTTTTTTGCCAGAGTGTCTTGGCTTTCCATGCCTGAAATACTCTCATGGCCTTTTCAGCCAGATCCGCATGCCTTAAGGGCTGATTCTGAGGCCAGAGTGCTGTTTAGGACCTCTGCCATTCTATGGGTCTACTGTGTATCTCGCTTCCCATGTTGGATCATTCTCTCTCTTTTTTATTCTATCAGCTAGTATTTGCTGGTACTAAACTTGTTTATGTGCTCCCTTTGGCTTTTAGTACTATCATCATGATAAATTATGAACAGAAATTGATCACTTGGACTAGTGAGATGGCATTTGTACATGCCACCTTGATGGGATTGAATTGGAATCCCCTGGTATGTTTCTAACTCTACCATTTGGGGCAAGTCAGCTTGAGCATGTCCCAAATTGTACATCTCTTCCCACTCTTATTCCCTCTCTTATGTTCA